GTCCAAAACTATTAATCAAAACTATTAAAACACTTCACGAACGGACGAACAATTAAGACAAACAAATTTAAAAACTTTTCAAACCCTACAAGCACTAAAATGGGTTCTTGGACAAGTGTTTATAATTCTACAGGAATTAAATTTTATTTAGATTAAATATACTGATTAACGCCCTCAAGATATAAATAGACGAATTAACCATTCTAATATTTAAGATAACAGTTTAGAGGTTGTCAAATTTAAATATTTTGACCATCGGCTAATAGATGGCGTTGGCGAAAAAAATAAATGTTTCTTAATAATAATATAGGTTTATAAAATGAATTGTTTGAATTTGTACGTAATAAACAAAATGAAATAAATAAATTATTATTGTTAAAAGTAGAGTCTAGCATTAGCGTTGGAAAATAATTTTAGATGTACTAATATTCAAATTAAGAAGTTGGTAACAATCAACGGAAAAGGAAATGGTGTTAAAATGAAAAGAGAGAAAAAAACTATTGATTTGGTTAATTATTTTTTGAAGTAATGTGCTGAAAAATGAAAATGGAAAAGGAGACAGAATAAAAATAAGGAATAAGATAAGTATAACTAATAAATTTCATAGGGAAATTTAAAATTTTTTTTTTTTTTTTTTTTTCAGAGCGGTTGGAAATTTGAGCGGTACACGCTAAGGCTGTGTTCTCATATTTATGCATAAGTATTATAGGTATACTTTGTCCGTCGTCATGTTTTTTACCGCACGATAAGTCAAAAACGAAGAATAATATGATCTTGAAAATTTTAAGAAAATCAAACTCTATATGGAAACGAAAAAAATCTGAGTAAAATGGGGGTTTAACAGGGTTTGAAAAATAAAAAAAAAACTTAATTAGAAACGAAAAATGATAAAAAATATAACAATTTTTAGCAAAAATATATAAAATCCGATTAAAAATGAGAAACTAAGGGGCTTTAAATTAATAAAAAATCCTAAATCAAAAACGAAAAGTGATATCAACATGAAAATATTAGTAAAAATCAAGCTCTATAAAAACATAAAGTCAATTGATTCTGAAGAAAAAATCTGAATAAATTAAGGGATTGAGAGAGGGTTAAAACATGCCTTTAAAATAACATTTTAACTCTTTCCCAATGAGCATACGTTGTAACATTTTAAAAATTACTTTTAAAAGTGTTATTTTAAATGTGTGACATCCTCTAAAAAATAATATTCGATTAATTTAAAATTTAATTATCGCCGCACGCAATATTCCTAAGAAAGGGAAATTTCGTGAAATGAGTGTATAGTTGGCAGTCGATATTCATATCGTCTCTTGAAATTTTATTTTCCGATCTAATCTTGACCCAACTACCAGTGTCTGGCTGTAAACAGCGGTGAGTAAAAAATGTCATTAAAAAAATATCTCAGTAGAAATTATATTTCTACTTTTTGTTAGTTATAAGTTTATTTTTTAAAAGTCAAGTTAAATTTATTCAACATGGTTCAGCAATTTCTTTTGTGTTACTGGAATTACACATTGTTTGTAATAATTAATTTTTATTGTTGAAAATTTTAAAAAGCAGTTGTTTATACCAAACAGTTTCATCAATTCTTGCCATAATTCGTATTCAAAATTTCGTCCTGGGTCAGAATGCAATTCCATGGGGACTTGTCTAGCAATGACGTTCATCATAAATGCTTCCGCTACTGTCGTCGCTTCCTGATTAGGAATAGGCACTATTTCGGGCCACTTTGAATAATAGTATTTGTTTTCCCTTTCTGTTAAAAGAAGTGGTCCGAGGATATTTATGGCGATTCATTCAAAGGGATATCTGGAAAAATACTGTGCTATTTCACCTCCACTTCTTGTTTTGGGCCCTTTTCTGCTATTACAATGGTCACATTCCTTACACCAATCTTCTACATCCCATCGGCAATTGACCCAATAAAATCTTTCCCGAATTCGTGCAAGTGTCCTTTTAGTTCCAAAGTGTCCTCCTAAATGCCTGCTATAAAGCTCCTCCAACACACCTCTGACCTGTGATTTCGGCAGTATCACTTAGCGGACTACATGTACTCCATCGGGGTTCTCCCACTTCCGGTGCAAGAGGCCATGGTGAAGATACAGGGAAACCCACTTAGTCCAGTACCCTTTAATAGTTCTACTATATTAAGCTTTCTCTTACCATGTAGGTCTTACTCCATTTTTGAGCCATTCTCGGACAACCTTTGAGTCATTGTCTTTCTTAGACTTTCAAGGATGATTCCGTCTTCGTCATCTTAATTCTTTAACCGGCTCCTCTCGTTCTTCAAGCCTTTTGTAATACCGGCATTGTCGTTCTAAACAGGGTTGTCTGGAAAGATTTCCTGCGTTGCTATGGAAACAGCCCCTTCGTTGTACTATCTCGATATACTGTCGCAATCTTTCTATCCATCTAGCAACTTGTACTTCAGGTTATTTTAAAATTCATCAGCTGCTGCAAAAAGCTATGGTCACTTCTGTTAGAAAGATAAGTATGGAAGTGTTTAAGGGCTTTGACAATAGCTAAAAGTTCTTTACTTGTGACGCAATAATTCTTCTGAGCTTTTCCTAAGGTCTTAATAAAATACGCAATTACTTTCTGTTCTTCCTCCTCCTGTCCTTGGAATAGCATGGCGCCCACGCCGTGTTGGGATGCGTTGCTGTCTAAAATACGCTAGGATGGGTAAATCGTTTTTTTTTACTCGGTGAAGGCATTTTGACAATCCGGCGTCCACTCAAATAGATTACTGTGTTTGATGAAGGATTTTAACAATTCGGCCAAAGCCTTTGACGAATTTTCGGTAAAATGAGCACAGTCCAAGAAAACTTCTAATTTTCATTTTGTCTCTTGGTTTCGGCCAGGGAAATGCCTGTGTGCTCTACTAAATCTAAACATTAAAAATGTATTAAATACAGCTTCTTGAAACAGCATACTAGGATGAAGAAAACTGGTCAACAAATTTATTCAGATTTTCTTGACTTCTTTATTATTAAAAATCTAGTTACTAACTACAGTAATATGAAGAAAGCTTTTGATCATACATCTAATCATTCTTCCATAACAATAACATAATATAATATGTACCGTAAACCGAGGCTACTTGAAAATACAAGGCCATTTGAAAACTCATGTAACGCCCCTGGATTATTGTCTACAGCCAACCGACGTTTGACCACAGATTAACCACAACAGATGCGAAACCCGGCAAAAGATCAAAGGATTTTGAAATAAGATTTCTATGACCTTGAACTTTAAATGGGTATGGCACAGGTGTTGCCAATTTTAATTATTTTCAGTCTAAATATAACTTTCTTCTAAACATCCGTTTTGGATGGCAGCGTTGGCTAAGGTAACTAATGGTTTAATGTATAGTAGCAGTACGAGTATATTAAAAAAGTCGACCATATTATTACTGACTGCTGAATAAAAGCCATGTGCCAGGCACATGACCAGAGAGGCAATTCGATAGTACCTGTTTTACCAGCAGTACTGTTTGAAGTATAAATATAAAACCGAGTACATTCCAGTATACCTAGAATATTGTAGATATTTTATTTAATTCAGCAATATAATATCTAATTGAGAAAAAATGCCTTCTACAAAATGTTTTCATAAAATATTCCAAATAACTAACATGCATGAGTAAGAAATTACATTAAATAGTGAATACCAGCAATCCAATCATTTAGTATGTAGCAAGCGATCATCGGTGTCTCCATCTATGAACGTGGGACGGAACCATCCTGGACTGTTGGGTGGTTTAGTCTGCGGCAGTCAAAAGCCGTTTGACTTTTACCTCGCTCTTACCCACCCAATAGAGGCTTTTATCTTTTAAAAAATAATAGGCATCCATATTAAGCCAGCTGGTGGTCAGACGGCACTTACAAATAATGAGGAAGAAACATTGGTTAAATGTATTTCCATTGTAGCTGAATGGGGATTTCCTTGTGATAGTGAAGAAATTAAAGATATAGTGCAAAACTATCTCGAAAGTGGTAAAATAATAAACAAGTTCAAAGAAAATAGACCAGGCGAAACTTGGATCGAAAAATTCTTGAAAAGACATAAAAAAACTCTGTCAGCAAGATTATCTCAATCAATAAAACAAAGCAGGGCTAAAGTAAATCAAGACACTATCAACACATTTTTCGACAATCTTTCAGAGGTTTTAACAGGTGTACTCCCGGAAGCCATTGTGAACTATGATGAAACAAGCTTTACTGACGATCCCGGGCGAATTAGAGTAATCGTTCGAAAAACATGTAAAAAGGCTGAAAAAATCATGAATACTTCGAAAGCAGCCACATCTGTGATGTTTGCAGGTTCACCGACAGGACAATTACTTCCAGTTTATATAGTTTACATGGCGGATCATTTGTGGTCACTTGGACTGACAATGGACCAGCAGATGCTAGATATAATCGCAGCAAGTCTGGCTGGTTTGACGCTAATATTTTTGAAGAGTAGTTCACAAATATAATTCTTCCCTACTTTAGAAGATCCAAAGGTTCTTGTAGGAGAATGTATCAATGAATGTAATTGACAAATGCCAAGAGAATCGTTAGATGGCAGTGTGTTTCGTCCCATCAAGAATGCATGGAGACAAATTTTAAGACAGTAGAAAAACGATAATGCGGGGGTTGTTAGAAAAGATGTCTTTCCAAAGCTCTTGAAACAGGCATTGAATAAAGTTGGTACAAATAATGAAACCAATATAAAATCTGGATATGTAGCTACATGCATTCAACCCATCAATAGAATAAAAACTTTAAAAAACTGCCCCAAACAGAAGCAGACGGACGTCAACAAGTAGACGATATGACCAAATCCCTAACAATAATGTTTGAAAAATCGCGCTTTAAAACTCTTGGTTCATCTGTAGGTAGAAAAACAAATTTAACATAGAAGCTGGAAAAGGCATTTCACGGGAAAAATTTCCTACAATAAGTGTTCCAACAACTTCAAATGTTCAAATTCCAAATGTTTCAAAAACTATGAAAGTTCAAAATTCTAAAAAACGAAGGAAGTCGATTGTTCATCGCGATTCTTCTTCAGATAGCGATAAAGAAATGGAAGTGATGACTATTAATACTGATAGCGACGTAGATCCAGAATTATTATTTGATTTGGAAAATACAAACGAAAATGACAAAAATTCGTTAAATGTTGCTACAGACGCTAGCTTTACTCATGATTTGACTGCTGATGACTTTATTATTGTTCAAATGGCAACAAAAAATGGAACTTCTAGAAAATATGTGACCAAAATATTAACCCGTGAAAATCAAAGCACATTTTTTTGCCATTTTCTTTGGGAGAGTAAAGTAAAAGATGCATATGTTTTTCCCACAGCAGAGGATAAAGGAATCGTGAATATGTCAGAAATAATCAAGAAGCTGACAGAACCGAAAGTTTTAAGACAGGGGCAGCTACAGTTTAAGAATATGTAGTGGTAGTTATATAAATATTTATTTATCTGTATTTTTCGGGGAATGTGTTTATTTTTGTTATTAACCATGTCATTTTTTGTTTCTTTTTATGTTTTGATTTATGTTATGATTTGACTAATAAATATTGGGTTAAAAAAATCCCCACCCCTTTGTCTCGCTTTATAAAACAATAGCAATATTGTAAGTGCTCTGTATAAAACAACCCACCACCCTAAAATTAATGATTTTTTTAGCTTTTATTCAGACATTTCCTTTATTAAACCAAACTATGAAGAAGATATATCTATAAGTAGCAATATATTACTCTCGCGTCCAAATCAGCTAATGGCGTAGGCTTTGCTTTCTTTGAACCTAAAGAGCACATAGAAAAATCTTTTAAAATTAGACAAGAATGTTCCATCTATACTGTGGAAGCTGCGGCTATCTACGAAGCACTTATTTACGCCTCTTCCTGCAACAGAGAAACGATAGTTATTGTATCAGATTCCCTCTCTGTTTTAACATCTATTAAAAAAAAATGTAGATTTGTTGGCCAAACAAGGCTCTGTAACAGGTTCTAATACGTCATATAATTTATCTGTTTCTGATGTCACTGCAATATTAAACAGAAATCAATTCAATAAATGGCAACAGTTGTGGCAGGAATATTGTTTCACAAACCCAACGAGGTATACGACTCTTCAGTTAAACATTCCCAAGATCCCTTGGTACAAGCATTATAAAATACCGCGAAAGTACATATCGACAATGATCAGGATGAGATTTGGTCATGCCTGTTATCCTAGCCATTTATACAAAATTAAAGTGTCTGAAAGTGACCAATGCGAGACGTGTAATGAAAAAGGAGATCTGGACCATATCTTCTTTAATTGTACTAAAAACAATTCTCTGACAAGCTATATAACGACCTGCTTAAATGCAAAATATGCTCCCCTTGGAATATCCAAAGTTTATTGTCCTCCAATTCCACAAACATTTATGACTGCTTGATTAATTTTTTAATGGAATCAGGTATACGCTTGTAATTAGTAATTCTCTTAGACTCGTTACCTTTGTTTTCTTTCCTATTGTTTTATTTTACCCCCTTACCGTGACCTAGTGTATGTCTGTTTTTTTGTAATGCCTTGACGGGTCCCTAGGCGAGAAGCGAGTATCCCCGTTTAATCCTTTTGTTATTTGAAATGAAATATTTAATGATTTATCTCTTCCATTTTGTGACTGGCTATATGACAAAAGAGTCTATGCAAAAAAAATGTTTTGTATTAGACTGTTTAGTTTATTTAATAAAATTTTGTGTTATTTTAAAACCAACAGTTTTATTCCTTAATCGCCTCTACTATACGTTTTACTTGAACACAACTTGAAAAACAAGCACTTTTCAAGCCGCTTCGCCCGTGGGGCGTATTTTCTGACTGGCTGTATGACAAAAGAGTCTATACAAAAAAAAATGTTTTGTATTAGACTGTTTAGTTTATTTAATAAAATTTTGTGGTATTTTAAAACCAACAGTTTTATTCCTTAATCGCCTCTACTATACGTTTTACTTGAACACAACTTGAAAAACAAGCACTTTTCAAGCCGCTTCGCCCGTGGGGCGTCGGGCGTCTTGAAAATAACCCTATTAATGTTTACCCCACAGGAGGGGTTAATTTAATAATCTATATGTACCATCCGATTTTGCTTAGCCTAAAGAAACCTAAAAAAAATGTAGTTCCATTTGAAAACATTACATGTGTTGGGTATAGTCTTTCAAAGATGAAAATGTTTATCAAGTAGCCCCGGTTTACGGTACGTGAAGATATAATAATAAAGGAATGTAACAAAATATCTGCACCTCTAACTTTTAAACTAATTTAGATAATGAAATGCGTTAGAAAATGGAACAATTAGTAATCTGAATGATATTGAGAACCGTATAATCTGGGACATCAGGTATACCGTCTATCAACGCAATTCCATTATTTAAAGATCCAAACCCCGAGGTGGCGGGCGGTTCGATATGTGGCATAATCAGTCTTATCTACACATCCCAGAACCGTCTCGAAACCCTTTTCCGAGATCAGTTATATATTTAAAGGGGTCCCCATCACGTGGATTACACGGAATGACTGTTATCCATTATAGGCGGCCAAACGTTACAGAAATTTAATGGGTATTAGGCGATCGCTATTCACAGGAAATTGAGATATGGATTTGGAGGAGGTGAAGACGTAGGTACACTTGATTTGAATAAATATTAGATCACGATGGGGAAGTTATTGGTCACTGAATGCTGGACAGGGTTAGTTATGACTCGTTTTCCTCTACATTAGAATACATCTTGTGGTATGTTCTAATACTTTGTGATAATAGAGTTACTTTACTGGTTATATTTACCCATAAAAGAAATTTATTTAATTATTTTATTTCAATAATTGTGTTATCGACATTTACTTATTGTATTTTTATATGTACTGGTTTTTCCTTGCATAAATGTTATATTAACCGCCCAAGATCTACTAGATGACTTTTTGTTTAACTACGCGATGGCAGGTGGTAAGTATTTCGTGACTAGAAGAGTGAAAAATGCTGAACGGATATTGTTAAATAAAGTTTAATGAAACACTTTTAATTTAATCAATATATTGTTATTTTTATTTACTGATTGCCGCTAAAATTAAGACTTTAAAAACTTTAATAATAATAATGCCAAGTGAGGGGAATGGTACTTCGGGATACAATATCCGGAACCTGAAGAAATCGCGAAAGCGCCCATCAGACATATTCTTGAATTCATCAAGAAAATTAATCTGATGGGATAGAAACTGTGAGGGGTACAATAAGCCTAGAGCTTCAGTACAAGTGGACTTTGAACCACGCCCTAATTCAGATGATGAGATGATGATGAGGGGTATAGTTTCAAAGTATACAATCTCCATATTTTATAAAAAATAAGATAGATGTCGCATTACATAGAATTTGTATCCCTGAATCAAAATAATTAATAATTTCTTTTCAAAACAGATAATCTATAACGAATTTTGACGGCAGAAAATTAGACTTAAATTCAAAACGTACAATCTTCGTTGACATTTAAGTTTCAAACCATACAATCTCTAATTCGATTTTAAAAATCAAAGTGTACAATCTCCAATGGGTTTTCGTTATTAGTTTTGAATTATCTCAAAGCATTCAAACTCATGTACAGACTTGTCAATAATATTTCGCGATAAAACTAATCTGATTTTATATATCTAAGTTAGTTGCATGTAATTGGTGAAGAAGTAAAGTTTTTCCAATTTTTTTAAGTAATAATGGGGGTGAATGTTACTCCAGTAACCAGTAATAAAGCAAAAAAAGACAACGTATTACGGCGTATTAAGTAACTTTCATAGAAGGTTTTTTTATATCTTCCTGCAAAGATGGGTTTGTTTTAGATATAGTTCACATTCGCTTCCAATTTATCCGAAATGTGGACAAAAAACTGGTGCTTTTTAATGTACCTTACTGACAATGGGAGAAATAAGACAGTTTTATTCAAAATTTTATAAGAGAAAAGAGACAATATTTCAAGATAATTTTTTGATTAAAAAATTCTAGGTATGTCTCAAAAAAAATTCAAAAACGGTTTTATATCTTGACCAAAAAAAATGTTGGCTATTTGCAAGAAAGCTTTCATGGATGTTTTGGGTATAACACGGAGACGAATTGACACAGTTACAAAAAACTTTGATTAAACTTCTCAATCTGCAAAAGGAAAATCGTAAAGGCGATAGAAAGCTGGAAAATTACAAGTCGAAGAAAAATTCTGTTATGGATTAGTAGGTATTATATATATTATATAAATAAAACAGAGACAGGTTCAAGATTTCATAATATTAGGCAAAAAGGGTTGTATTAACAATGGTCCGATTTTGATCAGTATCAAAATTATTGGTGGTTCAAAATTGATAGAAATAATACACTTTAAGTCGCACGCCACGTCGACTCATACAACGAAGACTATAGTAACTCATTTTTGGGAGTTTTTGAGTAACAATTATCCAGCTCATATATTTACCAAAAGCTTTGACCTGGAAAAGTATAGTACGTCTAAACGAAGATATTAGGCATCTAAAAATCTTAATCTTAATATATATATAAAATGCTAGCATAGAATATGTGTGTGACTGGTTTTCTTTATCACCACCAACTCCAACAACATCACCATTGGGGTGGTAAACACCCCTTGGGTCCTAGAAGGAAGTAAGGGAGTATGGGCGCGGTGGGTGGAAATGGGTGGTTGTGGGAGGCAAAAATGTGATAAGATATATATCTATCCTTTTTTAACTCATTAGAACTTCGGGAAAGTTCTGAAAATTTCTAGAATGATCTAGAAAGTTCCGAAATTATTATTATCCGTTATTATCATTCTGGAACGTTCCAGAAAATTCTAAAAATTTCTGGAATGATCTAGAAAGTTCCGAAATAAATAATATTGGTTATTATCATTCTGAAACGATCCAGAAAATTCTAAAAATTTCTGGAATGATCTAGAAAGTTCAAAAATGTGTAAAATCGGTTGTTATTATTATTCTGGAACGTTCCAGAAAATTCTAAAAATTTCTGGAATGATCTAGAAAGTTCCGAAATTAATAATATTGGTTATTATCATTCTGAAACGATCCAGAAAATTCTAAAAATTTCTGGAATGATCTAGAAAGTTCCGAAATTAATAATATCGGTTATTATTATTCTGAAACGATCCAGAAAATTCTAAAAATTTCTCGAATGATCTAGAAAGTTCCGAAATTAATAATATCGGTTATTATCATTCTGAAAGGATCCAGAAAATTCTAGAAATTTCTGGAATGATCTAGAAAGTTAAAAATGTGTAAAATCGGTTATTATCATTCTGGAACGTTCCAGAAAGATCATAAAAATTCTATAATAATCGAGAAAGGTCCGAAATGTGTATCAGTATTATGATAATCGATCTAAAAGAGCTAATTGTAAGTGATGTGCATCTAAATATTCTAGAGTGTTCCAATACTAGAAATTTCTATACGT